CGTTCGATCCTAAACCTCTCGTCAAGCCCACAGAATCTCCATCGAGGGGTGGCCATCAAGCCACCCGGGTCGATCTCCAGAACGACCCAGGCATCTGTCGGATTGCAGGTAAAGGAGCAATGGAATGTCACAAGAGGGCTATGCCGACCCCATGACGAACGACGGACCCAAATTCTACTCGATCATACCCGTTAGCGAGCTCACCGAGCACGTCACTCGAGCCCAAGCGATCGAGGCAAGCAACAAAGCTCAGCCCCTCCAGTTGTGAGAAACCGAGGACGGGGTAATGCACACAACTCAAACCGACCCCTACCAAAGCCCAAATGGGGCTCGGGGGCTCAAGACACCCAAAACACCTGGGTCTGTGACCCCGAACTCGCCCCATCAGGATCCACAACTCCGACTCTCCCGATCCCACGGCGCGCACCGACGCCAGGATCCACGAGCTCTGTCTCGTCCAATCCCTAAACTAACTGCCTGGGTCTACGACCCCGAACTCTCCCCATCAGGATCCATGACTCCAACTCTCCCGATCCCACGGCGTGCACCGACGCCAGGATCCACGAGCTTTGTCTTGTACGATCCCTAAACTAACTGCCTGGGTCTGTGACCCCGAACTCGCCCCATCATGATCCATGACTCTGACTCGCCTGATCCCACGCCACGCACCGACGCCAGGATCCACAAGCTCTGTCTTGTCCAATCCCTAAACTAACTGTCTAGGTCTGCGACCCCGAACTCACCCCATCAGGATCCACGACTCCAACTCGCCCAATCCCACGGCGTGCACCGACGCCATGATCCACGAGCTCTATCTCGTATGATCCCTAAACTAACTGCCTAGGTCTATGACCCTGAACTCGCCCCATCAGGATCCACGACTCTGACTCGCCTGATCCCAAGCCGCTCACCGACGCTAGGATCCGCGAGCTCTGTCAGTCCAATCCCTAAACTAACTGCCTGGGTCTGCGACCCCGAACTCACCCCATCAGGATCCACGACTCCGACTCGCCTGATCCCACGGCGCGCATAGACGCTAGGATCCATGAGCTCCGTCTCGTTCGATCCCTAAACTAACTGCCTGGGTCTGCGGCCCCGAACTCACCCCATCAGGATCCATGACTCTGACTCGCCCGATCCCACGGCGCGCACCGACGCCAGGATTCGCGAGCTCCATCTCGTCCGATCCCTAAACTAAATGTCTCGATCCCACAACGCGCACCGACGCCAGGATCCACGAGCTCCGTCTCGTCCGATCCCTGAAACTAATCACCTCGGCTGCGCAACGACGCCTCGATTGACGACTCCATCTCGACTAAAAAACACGCACACACGCCAGCTGACAAAACTCCCCAGGCGATCATGTTCGAATCGCCCGGGGGCTCGGGGGCTATACCCGCTGACTAAACAAAACCTCCCATGCTGGCAACACGAAAACCCCCAAGACAATTCTGCCCGAATCGCCCGGGGGCTCGGTGGCTACACCCGTGGGTGCGCTCGGGCGCACCCGCCGTCAAGACAAAAATCTCACAGACGATTCTAGCCGAATCACCCGGGGGCTCGGGGGCTCCTGTCGGGTTCATAAACCCGGGGTCTCTCGCGGACCGGCTTCCCAGCAAAGGCTCGGCCCAAAGCAGACAACGCGCAACTCATGGGCCGACCCAAGTACCTGAACGATAGGCCAGAGGGGCGATCCAATATCCGACTGGAAGGCCTGACCGAGGAGGAATGACACCCGTTTCCGACTAAGGCTCCCCCACATGCCTCTGGGCATCGACAGTGTTGTGGGCGCCGGCATTTAACATACAGGGCGAACATGGTAAAACCCCTTGCATGCCTCCAGGAATTAACAGTGTGGTAGGCGCCGATGTCTGCCATACCCAAAGAAGACAACACAACCTCCCACGTGCATCTGACATTCAACAGTATTGTCGGCGCCTACCATCATCCTGTACCCGCCGGCGTGGGCAACAAGGCTTAGTAGCATACGTACTCTCTCCCTCTCACTTGTAAGACCATCCCCTTCATCTATAAAAGGAGATGCGCTCTCTCCCAAAAGACTCAGTTCATTGAAGATTCACTCAGATTCATTAGATCGATCAGTTCACTAGCACACAATAATAGAACCGCCAAGTTTAAACTATAAGCACACGCTTGAACACTTAGCTCATAGCGGGGCTCCCGTCACTCTTGATCCTTCCGACCGGAGTCTGACCGGACCTCTTGTACCCCCATCTTTCTCCTTCTCGTTTGTAACCCCACTGCAAACGTCGAGCACATGGGCTCAGGAATAAAGCCACCGACCGACTCAAACTGGACATAGGACATGTTGTCTGATCAGTATAAACCCTGTGTCATTGAGTGCTTGGCCACCACCGATCGTAACGTACGGCAAAACTATAAATATTTACGTGTTGATCACTTTCTGCACCAACACCGAGTGAGTCGGAAAGGATACTATTGGGGCATTATATAAGGCTCGGCCCGGGAAGCTAGGAGTTGCGCGTATATATCGGAGCAAAACGGTTGTGGCGTGGTAAACAGATAAATAGGAATTTTGGAATAAAATTACTTTTATCCTAAAATTGGGGGGCATGTGTTTACACCAAAACTTGGAGAGAAAAACGTGGGAACTCGAAGCTCCCAAAATTGTGTTGATCAAGAAACCGATTGCATATGGATTGATATCAACTGATTCAGATACGACTTCGGAATCGAATCGCTTTGGATGACGTCAGCAGATAGCGATGATAAGCTATGGTTGGCGCTAGAAAACTACATGTCGGACTTAAAAAAGGAAAATATTATGATCCAAATTATCTTAAATTAGGAATGTTTTCGTCTATGCTGAAGATTGTAATGGGTCGTGCTCGAGTAGGATTCATGTCTAGGCTCCAGATATAAATATTAGACCCCCGGCCATTGTAAAGGCACACAATCAATCAAATACAAGTTACTTACTTTTTTTCGGCTTCGGCCACCCCTTAGGAGTAGGAGTAGAGTAGATCTCGGTGAATTTCTTGTTTTACAGGGAAAATATGTAGATTAACAAGCTCATAGACTTTGGTTAATTAGATTTTTTTAAAATAGATAATTGTAAATCGTTCTGTCTTTTCTATGTATAGCTTTTACTATGTATTTAGAAAAGACATAATAACTTAGGTAGCCACAATGCGACACCATGGCCAGTGGTTTCGATGTCTAAGTTTGCGCTTAACATCCAGATCGGTAAACTTTTTGGAACTACAAGGCCATAGGATATTGCAGAAGTACTCAGTGCCTCGTCAGACCAAAAGCTAGAGCAGTTGCTAGGCTATGCTATGGAGCTTGATGAGAGCTTCTGTTACATGTTTTTTTTCTCCCTTTGGACCACACCCTCTTGCGGATGTACAGTCTGTTCGCTTATTAGTTTCAGCCAGTCCAAATTAGCTAACCAACAGTATTTTTCTCTCAAAAAAACCAGCACTAGCTAACCCAAATCAGCAGCAGCATCAGCACCAACCAGCGAACAGGCCCGTAAACTCTTCCAACCCCCTGCCAAAAGGTGCAGTTGCTTTTTCTGCTAGGCAGGACACAGAGGAGAGAGTGTTGGAAGATGTGATGGTCTCAACTGGCGATGTTGACATGGCCTGCAGCTTTTGTCTTCTTATTAGCTTGCATTGCTGATGTCTTTACGATTTAGAACGAAGAAAGTACTAAAATAACTTGGAAGTTGCATGATACCAATGATACCAATAAAAATCCATACCGACCACAAAGACCCTTTACTCATGCTGCCTAGTGCCTAGAACAAATGTACTGACTGGCATACATGAAAAGCAAGAAAAGTCATTTCCAACCATAAGTTCACAAACTTAATTTCCAAAAGAAGCCAAATTAGCATGCTCGATCACGTGCTGCCAGAAAATTTATAGAACTAGGCACCTCACATTGACTTTTACCATATAATATGAGCAACCAGCCATCTAAAGATATGATTTGGTGTGGCCACGGCGCGGCCTCAGGGTGGCCACGTCGTTGGCTTTTCGCGGCCGTTCGATCGGCCGCGCGGACGGCCCAGATCAGACGAGCCGCGGTCGTTTTACGAAAAACCCTTTTAAGTTTTCGGAAATCAACCCGCGCTCCAGACGCCCTCTCAGAATTTTTTACAAAAAACGCCTCGTATTATTTCCAAATCAACGCTCAGTCCAGACCGGATGGGCACTGGTTTGTTTGCAAAAAAGACCTCCACTTTAGCGAAAATCAACTCGCGCTCCCCAGACACTCTCGCCGTTTTTTGCGAAAACATCCTCAGATTTTTCTCAAATCGAAATACAGCCCAACTTTGATTATATCTTTTTTTCCTCCAAAAAATACGTGTGGCCAGTGGACCGTACGCATGGGCGCGCCCGAAAAACTAGTATAGATTCGAGTGGAAGGAGGGAGGGAGGGAGGGAGAAGTAGCTGATTTGACAACATTGTGTAACGCCTTGCACAATAGATGCAGAAACCATATACGTTTACAAAAATTTGACTTGTTAGCATTGCATAAGCTGTTAAGAGTGTTATTTTGCAGACAGTAATTAACTTATTGCCCTTCCCTTTTTTTTTTTGAAGATGTTCTCAGTGGTTGATTTTAGCTACTGAAGTGCAAGCATAAAACACCAACATCAAACATGCCTATACTCTCTAGTGTACTTTTCCAATCCTATTCTCAAAACACTTAATCCATTGCCCATTCAAGCTGAAATGGTATTGAAACCTATAACCGAATGCGGCATTTGTAAGCCAATCAAAATCTCAAATGTCAAATGTGGCATCCCAAAGCTTTCGTCAGAGAAATGAGCAACATATGGCGGTGTATGATGGTTGCCATGTAAACTGTACAATAATGAGGAACACAAAATAAAGGTGCAAAACAAACTGAGCTTCTAATTGAGAAGCAGCAGCAACCAAAGAAAACAATAGCTAGTCCTAAAGCACCAAAAAGATGTCGGAAGAATGAAATGGTCTGCTCCTTATTACAAGGTTAAAGCAGCAACCACCGGTAAAGGATAAGCCAAATGACAGGATCGATCATGTAGTTTGTAAATCTGCCTCTGCTGCTTAACTATGACAACCGAATTTGTCCTAGCATCATCCCCCTCCACCTGAGAGTAAGTGCGATGAACAATGCGCGCTTTCTCCAGCTTGCCCTCTGGACCAGAATCAACGGACCGAATGTCAATAGAAGAGAATCTGCCCATCCCCATAGCACACCAAAAATGGCCTGGAACCAAGGTTTTTTTTATCGGCCGAAATTCATGGAAATTTTTGAAATTTCCCTTCTATCCACAGGGTTCGATAAAATTTGACATCAGCTAATTTTTTTCCTTCTTTCCTGCTCCCACACAGACAACCCAAATTTAGCCGTGCGACGGTCCCACACTATAATGTTTTATTCTTGTTTTTATCTGTGAACAAGTGATGTTTAATAGCTTATGAATAGTTTCAAGTCAAATTCTACTAAATTTTTTCAAAACAATTTGAATTTTTTTAAATTTGGTCCGATATTTCCGATATATCTTGCTTATCCTATTTATCTATGACCTCCGATAAATTTTTATTTTCGATAATGAAAACCTTGCCCGGAACAATGCCCTTCGATTCCACCAGCAACTCAGTAATGGACAGCTCTGTCTTCCCTGTAGATGTAGTACCTGGCGGGGCGACCTCCATGAAGAACACAGCAGCGGCACCGTCCCTTGCTTTGGAGCAGGCAACAAAGTGGTGGCCACCGAGGGGCACAGCGTGGCCAATGAAAGGCAGGTTCTTACTGTCCACCATCTCCCACTTCTTGGTGTCCACATCCAAAGCACAGGTACCCTTGTCTTGCTGCACAGAGAGCACAATGTGGGAGCCGACCATGGCGTAAGAAGCAACACGAACCTCCGGCGAGTTGCGGTACTCCAGCGGATTGAGGCGGCACGGAAAGATGGGCGGCGGCGGCATCTCACGCCATCCAGTGGCGCCACCGACGTAAGGCAGATTCAGGTCAAAGACGAAGAACCAGGGCATGAACTCCACCTCCCCAACGACGGCGGGGCAGCGAGAGAGCGCGTACAACTCGCTGCCGTGCGGGATCAGGATGGGATCCATCATAGGGTAGAGAAGACGGGGCCCGAGAACCTCCGTGAAAGTTTTTGGGGTCGTATATGGAGGTTCTATCAAAGCCAAGACCCACGATCCGAGGGCCGTGCCGCGACCCAACTGCGGCGAAGGACATGCCGCGCTTGCCGTAGAGTGGGTCGGGCGACGGCGCCGGCTGCAACCTCGAGGATGGAGTGGGTGGGCTCCTCGACTCCATGCTCCACCACCAGGTATACTGGCTCCTCCGCGGAGGCAGACTCGCCAGGAGGCCCGGAAGAAGCTTTCTTCTTCTTCCCTAGGCGAACGCAAGTAAGCCGAGCTCTCGCCGCCGCCCTTGTTTTTCCTCCGCCTCTTTGCCTCGCATCAGCCTCGGCATCCCGCATCGGCCTCGGCGTCTCTGGACTGAGATTCAGTGACTTTGATTGGAGCGTGTGCGGACGGCGTGGGCCTGGGCGTGGCAAACGCGCATGGCTGGCGCTAAGGATAAAAACAGAAGGGAAATATTCGGAATCGAACCGCATCGTTTTCTATATTTAATTCGATCGAATTCGTTTTTTTTTGTCTGATTTTACCATTTTCGCTTTGCATTTTAGATGTTTCGTATTTCAAATATAAAAGTAGAAAACGATTTAGACATTTTTCGACCGTTTTCTACTTTTCTACTTTTAATTTAAAATATTTCGAATTTGGCCAACTGCACAGGTCATACAGCCCAATTACAGGTTGTTCACAACGCAGCTGCGTTCTTTCTATTGGTGGCCAGCTGTCCTCTTTTATAGACGGCATCCAGTCTCATCTCTCTTCACCTCATGAGATGGTGCTAAATATCAGGAAACCAGCGACATCTACACGAAAGCCCACTTGGGCCATAGCCCATCAAACTCATCGGTTTAGTCCCCACCTACAAAGTCAATCATTTGATAGTTTTTGCATCAGCCGAATAAATCTTTGTTACTCAAAAGAAAAATCTGAATAAATCTTTAAAATAAAATACTACATCTATTCTAAAAAGATTAATAAAATTATTCTGACTCAGTTCGAGTTCATGTTTCTATAATATGCACTTGTTAATTATTATATGCACTTGAACTTGATCTTGTAAGCACTTAGTCATGCACTTGGTCTACGGGTCGGTATTCCATATTGAGTTTTCGTATATCGACCATGTTCGACATAAATCCGTTCGAATTGGTTCGTTTTCGAAATTCTCGATAATTCGTAAGTTCGCGTTCGTTTTCGTGTCCGGTTTTACCGTTTTCGCTTTCGTTTTCGTATTTCAAATATAAAAGTAGAAAACAATTTAGGAGTTTTTCGACCGTTTGTGACCGTTTTCATCCTTAGCTGGCGCGCAAGGCGACACGACGAGGTCACAATCGGCGCAGAGGCCGGCGCGGGCCTGGAGCGAGGCAAGCGAGCGCCGCCGTCGCAGAGGGCGACACGGCGAGCATGCGCGGCCCGCACAGAGAGCGCCGCGGTGAGCTCGCAGCGAGCACTACAACTACGAGGCTACCAGCGTGCGCGGCGAGCTCGCGGACGGTGCGGAGAGTTTGGGGCCAGCGCCGCGAGCGTGCGCCAGACATGCGTCCTCCATGCCAGGTCGAGCTGCGCGAACTCCACCACCTTCCTCTCAGGTGGACAACGCGGCATGAAAGGGCGGCGACGAGACACGCGTGCCGCAGGCGCGAGAGGTTTAAGGCGGCGCGGCGGTGCGGGGAAGTACGAGCGAGCCGGAGACTCCGGGCTTGTGGAGCGCTCCAGATGCTTACTTTTTCCGGTGAAAAAAAAATCCTGGAGACATTGGATTACCTGGATGCTTCGATGGGAGTTGGACGGCGGATACGAATGGGAAAGTTACGTTGTGACTTGCCTCAGTAAAGTTACTTAATCTCGGTCGACCCTAGACCGTCTCTACCACGCTCGCTGCTTTGCTTCCTTTTCCTATCCTACATCCTATTTGGCATTCTTTCCACAAGACAGAAATCCTAGGAACAACGTGGGCCTAGCCTATACTTATTGCAACAACAATAACAGGTTGAGGCCCATGCCCCATATACATCGAATGGGCTCGGTAAAGCCCTTCGTCGGAACCAAGAGAAAACCACTCCTACGGCCGTTCCATACACAAAGGAATTTTTTGTTTTTTGTTTTTCAAATATATATTTTTTCATTCTAGTTTCTCAAATCTATCTTTATCTTTATGCCGCCAGTTGAAACGGCGGTATATTAAAACCTCCAAGTGAGCTGGCAGATTCAGTAAAGCGTCGATTAACTCAGCAATAGGATTTAAATCCCCCTCCCGTTGTTCTCGTCTAAACGACCATGTACCCGCCGTTTAAATGTTACACCGTGACACGCATTTTCGATGTAATCCGTTGTTTTGCCTGTTTAAATGGATATTTTGCTTAAATAATGGCTAAACAGCAAATGGTCAACTGTTTACGTTTAGATAACATTGTCCCCTCCTACCGTGCGCTAACGGCTAACTCGCCTGACAGTAAGACTTATCCGGCCTGTTCGCTGGTTGGTTTCTGGGCTGGTTTAAGCTAATTGGTGCTAGTTTATTGTGAGAGAAAAATACTGTTGGCTAGCTAATTTGGGCTGACTGAAACCGACAAGCGAACAGGCTGATCGTTGGCTCATTCGGCGGAAAGACGGTGTCCAAAAAATCGTCGGTTCTTACAGTGAAAGATTGTCGGGCTGTCGGCGCCTCTCCGAGGGTGCTACCACTACATCACTTGGCGGAGTGGCGGTAAGTCCTAGGCCCCAGCTGTCGTGCGGTCGTGCCCACTCCCCCTCTCTCTCCCAACATATAAACTATTTTTTTCTTCCAAAATCTCATTTTAATTCAGAAAAAAAAAGACAAGGGGGAGAGGAGTAGACAAGCGAGAACGAAGGAGTAGCGAAGCTTTGAAACGAAATTCTAGTTAGAGGTAACATGCGAACTTGTATTTTATGTATTCCATTTCTAGTACATATAGATTTAAATTTAAAACTAGGTATTGTAGAATTTGTATAGGTACTGCTTTTTAGTATTAGTGTTTGTAATATTTCCATAGGTATATCAAATGCATATGTAGTTAATATATATAATAAATAAATTGGAATTAATTTTACATTATGTTTAGTAATAGTACATTAGGTATACATTAATTTATCTCATTGTAATCTCGTAATGCCAAAATTTAAATTTTTGGTATTATATTTATTTAGTTTCTAGGAACTATAGATGTGGTTTTATATCTAGGCACTGCATTGCTTGCATAGGACATTATTTTTGGTATTGTCATTTTGAAATTAAGTTTTTTACTACTTTCCTAGGTACTAGATCTAGGAAATATCTAATGCATACTCTCTCCGTCCCTAAATAACTGTCATTTTTTATTTTTGTACCATAAGTTTGACTAGATTTATAGAAAATACGTGCAACATATATCTTCAAATAAATTTATTATAAAAATAGATTCAATGATCTATCTAATGATATTAATTATGTACCATAAATATTAATATTTTTTATATAAAATTAGTCAAAGTTATTTCTCGGAAAGTGAGACCACCAGTTATTTAGGGACGGATGGAGTAGGTATCAAATTTAGATAATAAAAGTTTTGGATTCATTTTAGACTATGTTTTTAAGTACTACTCTAGGATTGTTTTTTACGTAGTATTGTTTAAATCTACAGTGTAGTTTAGTTTTCGCTATTGTTTTAGCTTTATACATGTATGGTTTAGTTGAGCTAGGTCACCTAGGATTTGTATGTATATGCAACTAATATCAGTAACGTTTGGTGCATAGTTGTACGTTAGGCGTGTGTGTATAGTTTGATTTTAAGATATTTTATGAGCACAAGGAGATTCACTACGGACCTCTAGAGATAGACTTGTCAGCGTTTAAGTCGCAGATGAAGTTGGTTCCTCGAACCAAAGAAAGAAACTTTACGACCGTAAGCGACAACCGATAAGTTGTTGTTTAATACATTTAAGGAATTAAGGTAGACCCTAAGCGACAACCGATAAGAATCGTGGAGGTGACTACCCGATGCACAGATGTAGTTTTTTGGGAGCACCTGCCATTGGCAAACACCTATGATTGGAGGAAGTATGTGTGTATTATTACAACTAATCATGGTTCCCTCTAGTATTGTTTGGACAAGTGTTCGGGGAGATACTAGTGGAAGCCCGTGAGTTAGGTACTTAGGTGGAGTGGAATACAAACTTGTGTAGAGGATGCTAAGGAGGAGGACGCAGAGGCTAGTGGGGAGAATGCCATGGCTGAGGGGGAGCATGGACGAATAGGCAGATATAGTGAAGGAGTTACATCACCTGTGGATCGTGAACCCATTGGTGAGGTTTATGAGGCAGAAGGGTTCCCTCGCCACAGATGTCGACAAAGGGTCAACAACCAAACAAAACGTGTCGATTTTAACGATCATGTATCAAATCCAGCATTTTTTAAGACGGTGACCTAGGGGAGAGTCTGCCAAGATTACAACAAAATCACAAAAAACATATTGCCTTTGATATCGTCTCATGTGTAATTGGTCCACCATTTCCCGCCAATATGCACGCATGAGAAACTCGTGAGTGCTGCAATGAACAAAACTAGGCTTTTGTCTTTGCGAGAAGACTGTTACAAGTTTAAACAAATATGGTCACAACATGACCGATATATGGTGTGCGGAGTGGTATAGCTAATAGGCCTAAGGATCAGCAACTTTATTGTGCGAGTGACAGTTCCACAATTAGTAAGCTTGATGTGCTGATGGATGTTGGCGCGCTGATGGGGCCAACCAACAATAACTTTGGCAAGCCTGTGTATATAGCATTGTGATGGATCTGAAAATGTTTTAGACAAAAAGGAAAGTATGTGATCTAGAAAATGTTTTACAAAAGGGTCATGGAATAGAATAGTCTGTGAAATGTTTGAACAATAGTTTTAAAAAAAAATAGAACTGACAAGAGAAAATAAAGCACTACTACACTCGGACCTTTCACGACCACGTCAGAACCCCCATCGTGATCTAATTTCTGCCTCGGTAGTAAGTTGTCGGCAAGATGATAGTCATAGCCATCACCGTCGATGATTCGAGACCGACTGGGGTGCACACTACACTGCCGTATTGGCGTATCATCCATCTGTGATAAGGTCCTTACTTCCGTCGCATTGGAGCATGACCCGCCTGTGTGGGTATGCACTAACACCACCGCATGGTTTATGATCCGTCCGTGATCAGATCCTTATTCTGTCGCATTGGAGCATGATCCGTCTGTGTCAAGGCGAACATCACCATGGCTTTAGCTTATGAACCGTCTGGTCATATGGCATGATCACCGTCGTGTTGCAGTACGATCCGCCCGTGATGATCCTTTAGTCGGTATCGGG